TAAAGGAAATCATTCATTTTTAAACCTCTTATTTCTTTTGCTTGTGCTTTTCATTAGGTAATGGAGACATTTTTATTGCAAACTGGAATTTTTTCTCATCTCTTAGAACTTCACTTTCACAAAAACCATGCTTTTGTAGTTGTGGGTTGAGAAAGTATTTGCATATTGATTCAATTATTCCTATACTCACTTGCTTCTACTTAGTTCAAATATATTTTCTATTGATACCTTTATTTAGGGATTTTGAAGTTGGTGGTTCCCAGAAGTTTTTCCACTCTAGCCTTCCTGGTACGGAAGTAAACTTCAGAGTACTTACCTAGACTAAGAGCAGTGCCTACTGTTTTACCATTTACTGCTGCACTAAATGTAAAGCTCTAAGACATCCATTGCTATTTGGAGTCTTAGTCTACCATTCCCAATTCTGCATTTCCGCTGAAATATCTTCTGGCCTTCTGGTAGCACTGAGAATGATAAATACTATTTTTGTGATCCAAGGGTAGCTACCTCAAAATTGAAAGCTCATCCTTTATAAAATATGTCTCCTCAGAGTCTCACAAAATGTAAGGATACTGCATGCAAGTTGCATGACTTCTACAAAATTCAAGTTTCTATCTTGCCATTTAATTGTTTGCAAAATTGTCATCTTTTCATCTTCTCCCTGTGTTCTAGGTAAGAAAACAGGAGCCTATCAAGGTTAATTCAGTAAAGGAAGAAAAAAGAGAGGAGCAGACCGTGTTTGGAAAGCTTAGGGTTAAAATATTTTTTATTTTTTTTTTTATATGGAATCAGTTTTGTGGCTCCTAAGTTTTAAACACTCTGTAAAAGTCAGACCTTAGTATTCTAAGAATGTTCAGCTCTGTTTCCCTCAGCAAGAAATAAATGATAAATGCAACCATGCATGCTGGTTCTTTGGAGGTTTTTTTTCTTTTCCTTCCTCCACTCTCTTGTTATTAGTTGGGCTGCAGAATTCTACAGACTCTTGGATCGCAGTGAGGTTTGTAAACTGACCAGTTGCCCCGCAGGCACTCATGCTAACTGGTGCTTTATTTAGACATTATCCATCAGTGGTGTTTGAAAGCTTGCTGGTGTTTGTTTTCCACTCTAAGCATCTCTCCATGCACAGCCCTCACCAGGTGAGCTGTCACTCACTACGGAGATGGATGGATCCAGAGATTCACTCTTACCTTCCTGCTCCAGGCAGCCAGTGCCTTCTCCCCTCTGGTCTCTTCACTGAGAAGGGAGCAATGGGCTGCTCATTGAAGGACATGCCATGGGCAGGCTACTCCATGCCTTGGATCCAAATCCTCAGCCTGCTCTTGGTGGAGAGGTGGGGCAGCAGCAAGACAAACCAAGCTCAAAACACTGGAAAGTGGCTTAAACGGGCTCTTTTTCCTGGTCTCTCCACTGCCACTCCAGTGGTGTGATCCAGTACCACCAGAGGAGAGGAGCCGAGAGAACAGATATGGCAGATAGTGGCTGGAAAGATCAGTCTCAAGGTGACATTCTGACCATGAGATGACTAGGTCTTGACTGTAGAAGCAGAATAAGTTTTACTTATTAAGTCCTGGTGCCAGATTTCCTGGTTTGTGTGTATTGTGTTGTGGTTATAACTACATCTCACGACATGGTTTAACTCCGTGCACTCAGGATTTTCTTGTTCTTTGATTTGAGACAACTGTGCCTTGAGTGTTAAATCAACCTCAGATGATGAGAGGGGGCTTTGCTTTTAGCCTCCTATTACTCTGTTCTGCTTTATCTGTCTTGCTGGTTTATAATTCAGACATTTTCTTTTTTCATGCCTATGTATCCTAGAGGTTTATTTAACATGGGCAATTTGCAGCTCAGTTTGTTTTAAACTTCTATTGAGATACACTAAATGGATGAGGTAAATCTCAGGGCACAGCACATCTGGCTTACCCAGGCAGTGAAACACACTGAGTGAAACTTCAGGAAATTAAAATATAAACTTTCCTGCCCCTTTTCCTGCAGGGGCAGGAGATGGGGTGGGTCAGCCTGCTTGCATATGCCATTATGGTATGTTAACACTTTCGGTACTTAGACATATGTTGCATTTCCCTCCTGCTTGAGCCTTTCTAGTCAGATAGTAGCATCACTGGAGAATATAATGTCTTGGAATTTGTATGTCTGTGACTCAGGAGGTCAAAACCTTCCTATAAGATATGCACTGGCATCCAAGAAAACTGATCACCTCTAAGTCCCCTGTTTAAACGTGTCAGCAAACTGTTTCTTCTTGTTGCTCTTCTGCTCTTCCTTCCCTTGGGACTGAAAAGATTACATTTAAAGGAGATTCCAGGTTTTAGATTAGCACACTCTAAAAGCAAAACTTCTCCAAAATCTCTTATGTGAACACAGCATTTTATTTCCGTATTTTAAAATGAGAGGAGCAGTCAGTGAGCCTCATGCTATTCCTTTGAGATTGCTCAAGTGATGTAATGCTTTCAAATTTAACAAGTCTGACTCTGTAGTGTTTTACATACTCTTCTGTTTTGCATACACTCAGCCCTGGCTTGGCATTTTGTGAATAGAACAAATTTTTTTTGTCATGTCTACTTCCAGATTTCATAAGAAAAAGCTGAGGAGGATATTACAAAATCAGGGAATAATTCACATTCTAAGCCCATGTGCAAATCAAAGCTACAACAGAAATAAAAATTATATCTATCACATTTTAAATTTCTGATTTAAAAGTATGTGTTCTGCCAAGTGTAGCTGGCCTCTCTCCACAGCACAAGCAGTGGAGAAGAAATCTTTGCATGTGGGAAGCAGCCATCTGAAAGAAAAATTCAGATAGCCAAATATAGACAAAGATGGACTTTATTCAGGATTGCAAAAATCCACTAGATCCTGGAATCCTGACCTCCTCTGTAATTCAGACTGTAAGATTGTATCCAGATATTCCTACAGATAGCAAAAAAAAAAGGGCATTCACATAATTAATGCAGATGTTGGCAAGCTTTTACAAGGGCCACTAATTCATTCACATGACTTCCTTTTTCCCTCAAGCATTCTTATACTTGACCTGTTATTACCACACAGTCTTAAACCAAAGAATTAAAGCCAGATGCCTTGTAGCTAGGTCTCCCTTTGTTAAGTATCCCTTATAAACAGTTTTTTTCTGTGCAACAGAGATCCTATACAAGAACTTTTTAAAATTCTAAAATAATTAACTCTGAGAGGTTTCTAACCTAAGAGTTAATCTATCCTAGAGGAACAATAAAATATTTATGGTCACTGTGCTGAGAAATGTTATTTACACTAGCTTTTTGTTATCTTGGGTCTACAAATGTTTCTGATCAATGTCAAGGTTGAAAGTAAAATCATTCTAAAAGAATCTTTAACATAAATCTAAATGCCAGGTAATGCATTTAGGGTATAGATGGGAAGTTTTGTGTATTGCTTTATTGGAACTTGTGTAATTGTCTTGACAGAGGGAAAAGAAAGTATACAAATATATACAAGTATACAAAGCTGTGTAATTCTAAGGAAATCTTTATCAGATATTATCTTCACCTGAGTCCAATTACTAATTCTGTTATCCCATTCTGTATAGTTTTTTTGATTCTGTGATTCTATTAGGTTAGCTGCAGCATTTCCTGCAGAATGGCTGGAGCTGTCCAAAACATAGGGTTTTGTTTGCGTGTTTTAATGGGGAGAGATTCTTATCCTTTAGTGTTTGTTGATCTGTCCTTTGATTGGGTTTATTACTCAGTTTCTTGCTAAAACTGCTCCTCTCTTTCTGAAAATTCAAGTTCAGTGAGTAGAGTTTCAAAGCCATAAAAGCATGGTGTCAGAGCCACGTCTCGTGGGTCTCTTTCTAAAGACTTGTTTGATGTCAGCATCTTGTTTTGATTTAAGTTAATATTATTTTACACCCTTGTTGTTAAGCCATGCTAACAAGGAAACAGGATGTTATTCAGAGTGTTTGCCTTTTGGGAACTGCACCTTGAGTAATTGATTATAACTAAGGGAGGAAACTCATTAAGCATTTTCTTGTTGGCCAACTGTTTTATGTAAAGCTTCTACATGCTCGTGAAGCATAAGTCTTGTTTGTTGTACCCATAGCTGCTCTGCAAGGAAAATTAATCATGTATGACCTGGCATAGTCATAACAATAGTTAACACAAGAAGTAAGGTTTGGTGCTTTTAACACTAGTTAAGTCAAATATTGCTCTTCTGATTCCTTGCCTCACTCTTTCAATTTTAAATTGGCATAAGCTTGTTCAGGTGTGTTATACTTAAAAGCATGGTGTATACAACCCTGTTTACAAACATGGTTGATGAAAAAAAATATTTCATAGAAATACACTGGCATGATCCATAAGTATCTGATAAACACACTTCATGTTTTATGGACAGATGTAGCCCCTGTGCCTAGCAATTCACAGTCTTAGAGCGTACTGATGCTCTTAATGTAGGGTGTTCTTCCCAGTTTTTAAGAGCATACAAGAAGGAATGCCACTGATGGAGACCTGAATGAGTCAAACCTGTGCTGGGAAATGTAATTCACTTTTTCTCCTTTTTGAGGTGCTCTTCTTTTAACACCACTACAGCCAAACAACTGTTTTATGCACGGATAACATAAATAGGGTGTTCTATAACAGAGTTAACTTTTCTTAATTACGGTTTGCATGCCCTTCTCTTTCAGTGAATTTTTCAACAGGTCTGCTTGGCCAGAAGTTTGTTTACTATGCAGTTTATAGCTCCATCAGAAATCATGCTAGCTACCAGAGCAGATGGAAGCATTGTTTCTAATTGTTTCTAATCTGGTTGCTGTAACTAGATTCCTCAGAGCAATTTTTTGTGAGTTGTGGAATGCCATTTGGTCTGAAAAAATAAATTTGTTCTGAAGCATGTTCCCTTCCTGCCCCTCTCCCTCTTCTCTGTACATATCTTGTCCATGGAGGCAATCATATGTTTTCAGTTCTGACATAATCATTTTTTTCCTTTTTTTTTTTTTTTCTTTTATCCTCCTCTTTCAGTCCACGGCCATGAGTGAACCACAGTGCTACTACAACGAAACCATTGCCTTCTTTTATAACCGAAGTGGAAAACATCTAGCCACTGAATGGAACACTGTCAGCAAGCTTGTAATGGGACTAGGGATTACCGTCTGCATCTTCATAATGCTGGCCAACCTCTTGGTTATGGTGGCTATTTACGTCAACCGCCGATTCCACTTTCCTATTTATTACTTAATGGCCAACTTAGCCGCTGCGGACTTTTTTGCAGGGCTGGCTTACTTTTACTTAATGTTCAACACAGGACCCAACACTAGAAGATTGACTGTAAGTACCTGGCTTCTCCGTCAGGGTCTCATTGACACTAGTCTGACAGCCTCTGTAGCTAATTTGTTGGCCATTGCTATTGAGCGGCACATCACAGTTTTCCGAATGCAGCTACACACTCGGATGAGCAACCGGCGAGTGGTAGTCGTCATTGTTGTTATCTGGACTATGGCCATTGTCATGGGCGCCATACCAAGTGTCGGATGGAACTGTATTTGTGATATCACTCACTGCTCCAACATGGCACCACTCTATAGTGACTCCTACCTGGTCTTCTGGGCTATTTTCAACCTTGTCACGTTTGTGGTCATGGTGGTCCTATATGCTCATATTTTTGGGTACGTCCGCCAAAGGACTATGAGAATGTCCAGACACAGTTCTGGACCCCGCAGGAATCGGGACACCATGATGAGCCTCCTGAAGACTGTGGTCATTGTGCTTGGTAAGTGCGTATTTTGCATACTTTGCCTCCTCTATTCTCCCTGCTTTGTTTCTTACCAGTTGATTTCAGTAACGTATGTCCAGCTTCTGGGAAGTCAGCAGCATTTGGAAGACATTAGAAGATTTGGGGGAAAGAACCCCTAGCATTCATTACTGTGCTGAGATTATCAAGCATACTTATGGAAGTGAATATAAAAGACTTGCTAGCTCAGCCCTATAACATGCAACTAATGAAAATCCGGGACCTTGAGATGTCAGATTTTAGCAGCAATTTGGGTTTAAAACCCATTGTAGCAGTGTATCCTGTGTTCATCCTTTTGCCTTTGAAGATGCCAAATGACTGCAATCTTTAAATAGTACAGGGAAGTCTCAGTCTTCCAGTCAAGTACCTCTTATCTCCTTTTTGCCACCCAAAATGTATTGTGTTCATTCAGGCAGTACTTCCATGTCTGGAGAACAGTGAGGGCTACAGACTATGATGAAAAGATTTTTGTGTGCAAAGCAGGACTGCATGTATGGTTCATCAGATTTACAATGTTTGGCACACCTTAGTATCTGCTGATTTGTTAACACAGAAAAGTAGCACGTGAGGCACTGATGTGCTTCAGCACACTGCTCAGGAGGTGCCTAAAATTCTGGGCTTGGAAAACAGCGAAACATGAGGCAAATAGCATGGCAGGCTTTGGAGTTAGAAGGTTCCTCTCTTTGTGTTAATGGCTGTATTTGGGTTTTGTCTGGGGCTTTGTTTCCTTATGCTGAAGTACGGCCGAATTACGGGGTACCATTCCCTAGTGATGTTCTTTGCAGTTTGTTCTGCTCTTTGTTGCTGCAAATGATGGTGAACTACAAGCAAGCAGAGATGGTGCCAGTTTTGTCCTTGTCCCAACTTCTACGCCCACCCACGAAGTCCTCCAGTATGGTACACAGGTCTCTTGGCATCCTGGTACCCTATTGCATCATGAAGTTGCCCTAGTAGTCCAGAAATGCACCTGTACACAGTTGGCAAATCTCAAAACTTAGCCGCAGTTCTTGTTTTGACGTCCTGATTTCCATGGCTTTACACCATGACACTGTTAGAAAGCACAAGTCATGGTGCCCAAATGAGGCGGAATAGTTGCAGAGATTCAAGGTGAGTCACTGTGTCAATTCATGTTAGTTTAAGAACATACATGTTGCTCTCTGACCTAGTGATTAGCTTTGTAACCAGAATATGAACTGTGTAGTCAACTAATCTGTCTAACCATTTATAAGTTGTATTCCCACATGTCTTGCTTTTCAGAGAAAGAATCTTTCGAGTTTTTGAGGGATGCTGTAGTGGTGGATAAAACCTCTGCTGACTGACAGATGGCTCAGAAATCTGTCCATCCCCACCTCTGTGGTCCTCAGACTTTTAACTAAAAATGTAAAATAAAATAAAAAAACCTTCCCCCCCCAAAAAATGAGTGTGAAATAGCACTTATGCCAGTGCAATGCAGAGTTATAGGAATAAATAAATAGCCACTGAGTAGCAGGTGGCAGCTAATCCCAGGCATGTACAGGACTAGGTATATGTATGCAGCTGGAAGGCTGGGTAGTGACTGCACCCTCCCTCATTCCCCTAGCAGCAGAGGTCACAGGCAAGATGTACAGGCCACCCAGGGTGGCCATAACTACGGAGGCATTGAAGGAATGTAAAATAGCCCTTTTTTTCCCCCCTAATAAGTACTTTACTTTTTTTTCAAGTATTGTTCTGGAAACAGTGGATCAACTCCAGAGGTTAAGTAGCAGTAGCCAAACTAAAGGTGACTCAAGTTTAGCTGCTGATGTAGTTCAGTAGTATTTCTTGGCTCCTCACTGGGGCTATTAGGAGTATTATTTTTCAGAACTACAGGTAGCATATTTTGAAGCTTTCTTCAAAATTCAAACAGATCTTTAATTCTTGTTACTGGTGCAGTTAAGTCCATTCAATGATGTGCACACTATGCTTTAGCATACCTAATCTGCATAAAACACCATTCACAAAGAGAGGTAATGTGTTATTGTATTAAATTTTTTTTTAAGAAAATGAAGGCACTCCCAGGCTGTGGCACCCTGTATTTGAATATCTCACTTTGTTATTATTTTGAAAAGGGGTTTTGGGGGGGTTTTTTTTGGTGTTTTTTTTTTTCAAAACAGTATGCTTTCTTTGTTTGGAGGAGGAGGAATATTTTCACCTCCTTACCACCTGTGAGACATGGGTGCAATATAAAGATGGCTGGGAAGCGGCTGTGGGCTTGTTGTAGTGGTTTTATATATAAAAGTAAAAGGAACGGTCTTGAATCAAAGAATCAGGTCTGAAGGCAACCACAGAGACCTTGGGGAGGTTAAATGTTTGTATATCAGGGTGTTAAGCAAACTGCTAGCTGAACCACGAGAAATGTTCATTAGTTGCTGTCAGCTGATGAGTGCTATCGCGTATTACAGAATTTACACTTCTAGTGGAGGGTTGTTTTGTACTTCTGAAGAAAAATTCAAAGTGCTGGTTAGGTGGTGTCTCGGTTTGGAGTAGATGGATGTAGTCAGCTTGTTGATCTGGTGGATGTCCTGGTGTTCTGGCACTGCTTGCCATCTACTTGCAAGGCTGGCTTAACATTTTCACAAGCAGATTTGATTTCAAGTGTCATACTCTTTGAGTGCCTTCTTGCATAGGTAATCAGTGCATAGTCCTGCAAGTTTAGCTGCTTCAGCTTTGGAAAAGGCAGAAAAGGTGGGTGTCTTAGGCTGTGTGGAGCAACTTGCTGAGGATTTCTCTGCAGCGATTTAGCTTCTTCTGTGTCAGTGAACTTAACACCCACTGCCTTTCTTAATGATGCAAATAAGGGTAAGACGTCACTGTTCGAGGCAGAAACCAGCTTTTTGCTGGAGGTGGAGAAGGGAAAAGAAGGATTTATCTTGTTCTTAAGACCCTACTCCCTCCTCTCCTACCCTGTAGGTGAGTGGGGAGGGGAGCTGGTGTGTGTCAGTCCACTTACGGAAAAGGAGGCAATTCATTTTGGAGGAGAGGGAGGGTGCCTTGAGAACCAAGGGAAAACAGATTTGGGAGTCTCGGTAAAGCTGTGTGCATTGGCAGAGGGCAGCAAACCAATCCCATCATCTTAGAATCTTTGTTAAAATGCAGCTCAGCTGTAAGTAACCCTCTTGTGATTTGGGCATCAATGAACTATTGGTTTGACTTTGAGATTTCCATAAATGGGTCTTCCTGAAGCCATCCTCCTGGCTGCACTCCCAGGCAAAGCCTTGCTGCTGCATGCAGAAGATCATCTTTTCCCCTCTCCATGTCCACGCTACGTTTTGGGGGGCAGAAGGTGGGGAGGAGGGAGTGGACACAAGAGCTTCTTGTTTGCTAGCTTCCTAACACAGTCTGCCCTCCTCGCGCCTTGCTGCCTTGCTCCAAGAGGAGAAGAGCCTCCCCAAAGGGGCCGCAGCCCGCCTTCTCTCCTGTCAGCGATGCTGTCAGGCTGTGCGGGGTGGGCGCCAGCCCCCTCTGACAAGAGGGTGATTGTGTGGGGAGGGCAACGGATGTTTGATGCGCTGGCTGGAGCGGTCGGGATCTGGCACACCGCGTCATCCCACAGAGCGGGCGGGATGCTGAATCCTAGGAACAAATCAAAAGCAGAGAACAGTTTTGTTTTTTTTTTCTCGTGCCCTTTTGTGATTTTTTTTTTCTTTCCTTGAGTAAAATATTTTAAACAGAAGGAAGTGATTTCATAGTTGAGCCCTTTTTTTCTTTTAACAAAGCTGCTTTTGAAATCTTTCAAAAGTAACAGGGAACATAAAGCTCTTTCTCTAGCATTTTCCTTTGTGCTGGGGTTAAGGCAAGACTGATCTCTGTACTGCACAGAGCCATAAAATTGGGTCCGGTTTGGCTTGCTGCTCAGTGACACTTCGCCTTTCACTAACACTATGTCTTACATTTAAATGAGCAATCTAGGGAACAGACAGGAACCTCATGGATATGACTGCTGAAGGTTGGCATTCTCTCTTCCATCCTCCATGTTATCTTATGTTTAAGGACAAAACTAAACTGTTTTTTCTGATGAAGGTCATGGTTAAGACTCTGAAGGCATTTGGCTGGATCAAATGCAGGTTTGGCCCCCAAATGGATGACAATATCTAACTATTGTTTAATCAAGTGGTAAAAGCCCTGGGAAAAGGATTTCAGAGCTCAGTGCTGGAACAACTAGCCCTGCGCTGGATTGCCCTGGCCTGGAGTAAATCATGAAAGGCTAGGGTTTTTAGGGGTGATTATATACCCACATTAGAGAATAATTACCAGCTTAGGTGGTTACTGCTGGAAAGTTAGGCTATATATTGTCCTGCTTAAATGCTGATTAAACACGTCCTTCACCTGCCAGCTCTTGGTTTTACAGTGTGGATAAGTCTTCCTATACTTCCGTACACATCTTTGGGCATTTTTCTCTATTTAGAATTTAGACTGGGGGATTATGGTATGAAGGCTGTATAACTGAATTTTAAATAATGATAATAGAAAAAATCCTTCTGATGTGTATTTTACGAATCTTGCCAATTAGCCTTCTGTGTTGTGTGAGTTCTGAATGATGCCTGGCCAAAATTAGGCATATCTATTGCGCCAAGCACCACAGCTAGTCGTCAGGACATAGAGAGAGCAAACAATGAACTCATGATTGCTTACCCTTTATGTTCTTGGGAAGTAAAAAGACACTTAAGCCTTTCCCGCCTCTAAGACCATCCAGTTTGTTTGAAAGGATGTTGTTTAATTCTGTAAGAACTGGAAACTGATGTGGGTATAGATTTAAAAAGTAAAAGTTCTTTTTGTATAAACTGTTTTGGTTTAAAGGAGTCTTGCTGTGTTTGAAGACAGTCCCTTACTTACTACAATGAAGCAATAAATGCAAAGAAACCATATGAAAATTCAATATAAATGTTTGGAAGGTTGGAACTATTCAGCTTTTTTCCTGCTCTCTCTTTCTTGCTACAGTTACGAGTTGCGTGAGAGACTTA